CAAATGTTGCAACTATGTTGCAACATATGTTATAACAGTGGTATGTTGCAACATATTCATAAAGGCTACCATCTTTACTACCTACCATCCTATAAGACACATTCAACCTGTCAAAGACAACCTTATCGATAGGGACCTTGTTGAAACAGAAGAATCCCAGTGGATGAATTGGTCTAATGCTCTTGATGCATTAGCATTAATCTTTTTTGGTCAGTCACTTCCTTTCATACACTGAATCATTCCAAATTGTTGAAACTTGGTAAGGTTGTCATATACAGTGGTGAGGGAAATACCAGTTCGATTATAGATTTCTCTGACATTTCTAATATTCTGATTCCATAATTGTAGGATAACTTGACGATTGGTTTTTTGTTTGGAAGTCATTATTTCTAATTAATACAATTTTAAAGGTTTTTTTAAAAATTGAAGATAGTAGGAAGGAGAAAAAAATGTAAAGTTCTATTGTTAATAGTATTAAAATAAAGAAAAAATATACTCGCTTACCTAACAATTACATTTGATTTTACATTATTCGGATTGACCTTAATTTGGTTAAGATATGCATGCTTTTATTTCATGGAAAAAATTCTGGTTTTTTTTGTTCTACACTGTACATGTTTTTAGGGAATTGAAGGTCGACGTCATCAATGTATTAGCAACCAATTGCTTCTTTAGCTGGATTAGATATGCAGTTCAAACATCAACTTATTAGTATATTAAGCTCAATTGCGTAAAATGGTAGTGAAAAATTCTATAAATTAACAGGTTTCAATGAAATTACTTTATAAAGTTGAGGTAAAGGATTGATTTATTATTTTCATTGTGAGTGAATGGTTACATTAATCAATGATTCTTTAGCAACATATTATTTTGGACAAGTTTTTAATGTTTTTTTATCCAACAGATAACCCAGCGAAATATAAGATAATGGTTTACCATCTTTCCCATCATCTCGTTAGAATTGAACTATAAAGTTTAAAATGTTTAGATTATAATTTGAATTAGTGAATTTAACAATCATATCACCAACATATATAATAATTGCACTATCAAACGATAACAGCAATTATTCTAATTCTATCTAAAAGCACATTAGACCTAATAAATTCTTTATGATCTTTAACATTTTAGCTATTATTTTGATTAATAAGATTTCTGTTTGAGACATATAGTTCTGTAAATAGTATATAAAATATAAACTACCAACCAATTTAATTACACCTGCTAACATTTTTAGCATTATCAAACTAAAGCAAATACATACCTTTTACAATTCAAATTATTTTAATAAAAATTTTCAAGTATTTAAATATACTAATAAATCTAATCCTATATCACTATATTATTAATTCTTGACTAATAAACTTATTATTGAAAATATCTTTTCAATTAAATAAAAATTGATCCATCATTTTATACAAAATTTCTTATCTTGAGTTAGATTTAAGATATATGATGGAAGGGTGGATGTAATCTGTGATATTTTTTTCTTTGCTTATTATATTAAAAAGTCAAGCTCTTTTTCATCGTTTTTTAAAAGTATCATTGGAACATTTCGTCACAGGAATTTTCTTCCTAACCTCACTTCAAATCAATTTTTAGTATGTATTGTCTAACGCGTTCAGCAATCTAACATTTTATATTTCTATCGACTTTTTTGTAGAACAAAAATAAAAGCTTGATTTTATTGTACCATCCATTCACATGATTTATGGCTTGACAATCATCCATTCACATGATTTATGACTTAACAATAAATTTTCCAGCATCATCAACAAAATTTTGTCCTCATGTGATTTTTTTGCTAGCGTTATAGCATTAAGTATAACGTTGCAAAATTATGTGTAGCATACAAAGTAACAAATAAGGCGTGATAAATAGAATTTTACTTACTTTTAAATGACAAATATTTTACTATGATCACGTGAACGAAAAATTTTGTTAGTGTTGCTAGAAAGGATCATGAAAATCAACTCCCCTATTAAAAATCCTCAGATATATGATTATTTATATATATAATGTGACTAATTTTAATAAATCAACTTAATCTCATAGGTGACGTCTGTAGATGTGATACAGTATGACAGATAAATATATAAGTTCAAGGATTTTTGATGGTGATCCTGAAAAAAATCATAATAAACACATTTTTTTAATGATTTTTCTGTTTTTTCCAGAATAAAGAAGGGTTTTCTTTTTTAGATTTTTAGATTCTTAGGATTGCTAGTAATATTTTATCTTTCAAAAAAACTCTATCTACAATGTTTTTGCTTAAGTACTAATCTGATTTCTTTGATAAGTTTTATGACTTAACATGTTATCTAAACATTTTTTATTCAAACTTATAACATTTTCAGCTCTTCTTACTTACTTTAATAAATATACAAGCTGGTCCTATTATGAGTTTTTGACTTTCTATTATGATGTGATTATATTTTTACCTTTATTTATGAAAGAATGAAATAGACTTAACAGCTTCTAGACATATAGATTTCGAAAATTACAGAAAACTTTAAATCAAAAGAAATTGAGATTTTAAAAGTTAAGATATCATTTTTATTTGTTTAAAATCAAGGGAGCTTCTGATTAGTCTGTGTTCAATCAAAAGTATCAGTCTATATTCTGATTTAAGAGTATCAGTCTACATCTTAGACCTTACTATTGAAATATGTATTTTCTTGAAGTTGTTATTTATTGTCATTTTGCTATTGAACTATTTTTTCAATTAACTTTTTCTTTTTATTATTATTTTTATTTTTGCAATAGGTGGAATCTAAACATTTAAATACAGGGTTACAGATCTATTAAGAAAAGGTGATTTTTAAAAGACCAAGTCATTGTAATCTTTACTAACATGTAAATCAAAAGAGCCATATTTTTAAAAGCTTAAGTATTTTAAATAAATCAGAAAATTTAATGTTAAAGATTTTATTTTACAAGGATTTATAAAATCTTTTCTCATTAATACATCTAATACAGTTCTGGCGGAAAAAACTGACAATTAGAAATTAGCGATTATCTCGCTCAGGTTTTATTAAAAAATTTTAAAATTTTAAAATTAAATTCCTCAAATATACATTAAAAACATATTAAAATTTCAAAAGCCTATTGTGCGTCCTTGATTCTCTATCACTGATTCTAAACGTCTCAGCATTGATCTTACAAGATTAATACACAAATTTTTATCGATTGCCTTCCACTCCTCCTTTATTGTCTCCATAAAAACCTTCTGCGTAACTGATTTTTTTTCAATAATCATAATATTGACCTTCTTTTCCACATTTCTTTTCATTATTGCCTATAAGTTTTCGATCGGATTTAGATCCGGAGAGGAAGAAGGCCAGTCAAGAACACGTGGACAATGTTCATGAAGAAGAGCAATTGTAAGCTTGGCTCGATGCTTCGGATTGTTATCCTATTGGTATGTCTACCTATTACCAAGGACCTGGGATGTTTGTTCAAACAAATTTTCAGTTATAATCTTCCAGTAAAGCTCTCCATTCATGTTTTCAGTGAACATGTGAAAGCCGACGATTCCCTTTGCACAAAATGCTCCCTACACATGCACTTTAAAAGGATGTTTCACTACTACATGCCTTGGCTTTGGTTCTCCACTTTTATAACGAACTAGGGTTGTGTTACAAAATATTTGAAACGAAGATTCATCAGAAAATACAACATTATTCCAATGTTCTCTTTGGTATGCCTTTGCCCAAGCAACACGATGATTCATAACACAAACTTTATACCCAAGAACTTGAAGGTTTTCTCTAACTGTTCAGGGTGCAATATTAAGGTCAGGGTATTTTTTTTTAATATTTTCGGTTAACTCAATACTTGACGAACATTTTTGCGATTTTGCAATTCAACTAAGATAACAATGTTGAATAGGGTAAGACGCTTTGGCGACCTGGACGACTTCTTTGCTTTAAGTCATTTGTTTCTTTAAGTTGTTTAGTTCACCTGTATAAGGTTTTCAACGGAAAACCAGTTGCATTATGAAGGTCTCTAACTTTACAAACTCTACTTTTCTATAAAGTTTTAATGCAACTACAGCGTTCCTTAAATACAACCATTGTGTGATGCGCGTGATCTCCAGGCCACAGTAATTTATTAAAATATGACGTAAATAAGTTGTTTACATCATATATTCTATTTTTGTATAGGAAAAATAACGTGATTGGTTCCAAAATCTAAAAAAAAATTGTCAGTTTTTTCCGCCAGAACTGTAAATATAGTTGATAATACATATAATATAAAATAAATTAATATTTACTTATAAAATATTCTTTCATGATTTGTCTAATTTATATGATAATTCCATTTATTAACCTTTTTTTCAATCTCACTTTCAGCCCAATATTTGGAATTAAATCTCATTTTCTTACAAAGATTATAGAGATCACTTCGAGGGGTGAGAAACTTTATTTCTGGTACAAACTCAATGGAATGTTGACAGGCAAATATTATAATCAGAAGCTTTATCAAAATTATCCAAATATAACTGATATAATGATGAATAGCTATCATTTGCTAGAAGAAATGTAACTGCCATTGTATTCTTGTATAAATATTATCCTAAAAATTAAAATAAATAAAATCATTAATGAAAATTTGTAAATTAATATAAAATAAATGTAAAACTAACCAGGTGATGGTAGCCTATGCATGCTTACATAATTAGTTATAAATTTCAAAATATTTAAAACTGTCAGAAAAGAAATTACTCAGTTACTTAACCGATTTGTTAGTTAATTGATATTTATCATAAGACCAAATCTGTTATAATGATCACGTATATTTTCCCATTTTTTTATCAATATTCCATAAATTGTTAAGAATGCAATTCTGCATATTTTGCTTTCCAAAAAATGATATAAAGAAGTATAAAGATTCTTATGCCTACCAGTTATAGTTTTTCCCAGATTTCATGCTAATGCTTTCATCATTGCCATAATGAATATATCCAATTGTATTTTAGTGTAATTTCAAAGTTCCCGATACTTCATCAGTATCTCATTATGATCAACCTTAGTATTAAAACAATTTGCTTTACAATATTTCATAATAATAAGCTTATGAAGATATGACTGATCATCTTGAATATCTAGATCTTTTTTGAGCTTTTTTTTTGTTTGTTTTAGTCTCATCTTCTTCATTTTCTATCGGTTCTTTCATATACAGTCAACCCCCTCTACAGTCACCCCCTATACAATCACATCATATAAATCCTTCATTATAAGCACACCTTTCATAAAAACCAGTTCCTATTAATACTATATA